TCAATTCCATGCTCTCGTTGATCAGCATTTGCCGATCGTCCTCTCTCTCTTTCGCTCTATCTATCTCAGTCTCTCGTGGCCCCTTCTGCTCTTTGTATGTGTGGATGTGCATTTGAAATCCTTTTAGCCCTTGCCCTTTCGCCCCTCATGCTGTCATGAAGGTGCCTGCCCATGTACCTGTCGAGTATGGTTCGATTTGGAGTGTCTGTCTGGACGACGCGTAGTCGGTCCCTTCCTCTCCAACACCCGCACGCTCCTGCTCCTACTGGAAGTCACACTCACCAGGAGGCAGGAGGACAGCTTCTTGTTCTCGTTTTTTATTTATTTACTTTTTTTTTGTATCTTGTGCCGTGTTTTGTGTTTCTTTATTTTCACATTTCATCGTCGCCTATTTGTTGTTGCCTGCTTCTTTATTTTCCTGGTAATAAGGTGTGAGAAAGGCAATAATCGTAAAGAGCTAACAAATTGTTGCTGTAGCTGCTTCTGGCTCTTCCTCTGTCTCTGTCTCTGCCTCTGCCTCTGCCGCTGCTGCTGCCGCTGCTTCTCCCTCTGCTGCTGTTCCCACTTGATTGTCTCTCAGCAGTGGCACTGCTTTGGCTAATGCTGTCCAAGGTATATTGAATCGAAGGTAATTCAGACCCGCTCTCTGACTTTGGCTCCGGCTGTTTCGCCAATTTTTCTATCTCTCGCTTCATCTGCCCGTTCAATGCATATTTATACCCGATAATCAACGAGTAGAGGGATATATATGTTTTATGGTTGATGTGGACATGTGTAACACCCAGAAGGAAGCGTTTTCGCTTGGATCCTGAATCAGTTTGGATCATTATTATATCTAGAATGAAGACATAAATTTGCATGCGCTTACTCTCTCTCTCTCTCAGACACGCCCTCTCGCGGAGGCTGGTATTTGTGTGAGACCAGAGAAAAAGATACGGATCTAGAGGAATACAAAACAGTCACAGAAAAATGAAAACAAAGGGTAGAGCCGCGGCCCCTGCCGCTCGTTTGCTTTATTTTTTCTCTAAGGGAGGCCTCACCTTTCATCTAATATACCTTGGTCACTAACTTGGCTACTGCTGTCGCTGCCGCTGAGTCCGACGCTTTTCTGTTGGTGTCTTTTGTTTTTGTTGATTTCACGCTAAAATGTTAATCTGTGTCCCTTTTTGTCTTGTTGGCCGGCCCGGGCTCCCCTCCAGCCAGAAGCAATTACATCGTTGACGACAAAACATCGTCTCATGGGAGATGAAGATCTTCATTCCATCGACCAGATACCAGATACCAGATACCAGATATGGGGTTTGATAATAGTCTTGCCCGCTTCTCTCCTCTGACGATGCTGCAACACCGACATGATACATACACATACACATAAAAATGCCCGTATACTCGTATGCATGTATGTTTGTAGGGAAATTAAATCTGTGGTATATAGAGAGCCGTTACTTTCTAGGCGTATGTACATACATATTATAGTACGATTTCCCTTTTACTTGGATGCAGATCGAAGAGATCCAAAGTCAAGGCTAAGACATGTGAAATATCCTTCCCATCAATCAATCAATCAATTCCAATCTTCTCTATACACATGCATACACATTTTTGAATTGCCATTACGATTTTATTTCCCATTCCATTCCCCTTCACATTAGGATTTCGATTATATGTAGCTTTGATGCCGATTTGGATTCCGATCTATGATCTCGTGCACAGCCAGAGCGCCAGTCTGCCTGGCCCCTTATCATTCGAGCTTTAATTAGTAAAAAATATAAATAAATAATTTCAAAACAAATGATGGAATTATGTGGAATTGGAGCTATGGCCCCAGGCCCCAATCCCCAACGCCGGTTCCCGAACCCAATTCAGATCTCGATCGCTGTCGTGTGTCATACAATAATCGTATATTGCGTTGTACTTACGCGATTATCTGCCCAAGCATTTCCGTCTACAATCCCTTATTGAGTCTACGGTCACCCCAAAACGAAGCCAAGGGCTACCCAGAAATTCAATTACGTGGGTGAGTCGTCATGGGTCTGGGAAATAGCAATTAGTTCACTTAATAAAATCATTTCCCAGGGAGTCGCTCCACACTCTGCTCTCTTCATTCTCCATCCTGTGTTTAGAGTCTTTTCGGAGCTAAGGCCAGATGTCATTATCTCCAAGTAATTCCCCATAATCGCCATGTTTGATCTTATTAAGACAGCTTAACTTGTTTCTTGCCCATCATCGTTTCTCTCTATCGCCTTGCCAGCCACTGCTTCATCCCCATCCCCATCCCCATCTCCATACTTAGCCCATTCATACGTGATGGGCAGACAACGATTAGTGACTGCTCGATCGATGGTTTGGTCCGGTCCGCTGTCCGTTTATTCCTCCTCCTTCAGTCCGTCCGCCCTTCTGTCCGCTCACTGGTCGGTTGTGTTGCATCGTCTGGCCTTCTGTCTGAGGGCTTCGTCGTTGACTTGGGTAACTTCACACCAGCTAAAGTGCTAACAACTTTGTACCTGCTCTCTTACCCTCTCCTGTGCTCTCCTCCTCTCCTCTCCTCTCCAGTCTTATCTGTCGCTCTTGTGCATCTGAAGTCTGGAGTACACACATCGTGTGAGAAATTAGTGGCATTATTCCCTTCTATAATATTAAAGGATATTTAGATCGTCAGATATTGAGATCCCTATATAGCATAATGGTATAACTATTCAATACAAATGACGCATGGTTCACGGATCTGAACGGATCTTAATAATCATTTTTGTGAGTGCAGCATGAAACCGAAACCCTGCCCCATCCATAAATAGAAATCTGCTGGCCAGCCCAAAGTAGCGAATCCGAAACGCAAATAGATCGCTGGAGGGTCGGGGTCTGTAAATATGGCAAGAGATAAATAAACACAGTGTCCGGAGATGAGATGGCAGTGCCTGAATAGGCAACGGATACCCTTAGCTCTTATCCAGCTCTCTTATTAATTCGCAATTGTTTGTTTTCATTGGCTCGCCTAGAGGAGGGAAATATGACACAACAGAGCTTTGGGTGCTTGGTCAAGTGGTTCTATCTGGTGCTGATTGTCCACACCTTGCTCTGCATCGGACAGCTCGAGTGTCGGCAGCATCACAATCGCAATAGCAACAGCAACAGCAACAGCAACAACAACAACAACAACAACAACAGCAACAGAAGAGCAGACTCATCGAGTTCGGAGGAGAACCACGGAAGTAATACCAGTGACGGCATCGACAGCTTCACGGAGAACGAGGCCAGCATTGGCCATGGACCGCGCCGGGGCCAAAGGAAGAAACAGCAGGGCGGCAGCGGCAATGGGAACGGGAATGGGAATGGCAACAATCGCCACAATCGGATGGAGGAGAACGGCATTTCGCTGTGGATCAATGAGCAGCAGCTGAAGATGCTGAGCGGTGAGCAGACCCCTGAAAATATCCGGCGGAAACCCCATGCTCATGGATTTACGAATCCCTGCCCCTCTGCCCCTTGCAGCTCTTTACTTTCCGCAGGGCTACTCGGATCGCATCTATGCCATACACAACAGCCTGGTGACGAACGACCTGAGGGACACGACCCTGTACAACTTCCTGGTGATCCCGTCCGAGGTGAACTATGTGAATTTCACATGGAAATCGGGCAGACGCAAGTACTTCTATGACTTTGATCGGCTGCAGACGATGGACGACAGCATCTTGAAGGCGCCAACGCTGTCGATCCGCAAGAGCGGACGGATACCGCAGGAGCAGAAAAGTAAGTTATTAATGTCTCACGTCTCACGTCCATCGAGGCTATGCAAACCGATCCGATCCGGCAAACGAACCTCACTCCAAGCTAGATTTTAGCATATTCCTGCCCTGCACTGGCAACAGCTCGGGCACCGCCTCCTTCAATGTGGGCCTCAAGATCCAGACGCGCAACAACAAGCCGCTCTCAGGCACACCCATTCGCCTCAACTTCAAAAAGGAATGCGCCCATAGAGGTGTGTATGATATAGACGCTTCCAACCCTACTTCACTAACAACTTTGCAAGGTAGTGTATATGATATATCAACCAAAATGCTTTTATCTAGTGTAATTGTAGTCTCTAGAATAGAAATAGAATGTAAATAGATTTTTGGCATGCATCACACGCATCACATACGAGCATATCCATCTATCATTGAGCCATGCATGCCATCAGATCACATTTCCTTTCCATGCCATTCGCCATTCTTCATTCTTCATTGTGCATTCTACCCCTTGTAATATCTATCGCCTACGCTATGTTTTAAGCTTAAAGCAGCAAAGCAACTCCACTCCACCATCTACCATATATGTATTTTCTACCATATAAAACTTGAGTCTATGTCTAAGCTTGTTCTCACGAGGATATGGATGTCACAGACTAACGAACAGGCAGACGTGACGGATAGATAGACACATGTACATACAATATACTCTATACGAATCCTTAGACTATATATGTATTTCTAGTCTCTTTTCATCTGTTCTTTTCTCTTTCCAACAATCGATTAAAGTTCAAATTCGAATGGGATTCACATCTCGAAAAGTTCGTTCCGACATTGCCAAGCCCATAACGTTTTTGTACATATATTCATCCATCCACATCCAAGTCCATGTCCATATCCATCCATCTCTCCCGATTGTCGTATGCTACTTCGTTATTTGTGCGTGGGGCTGCTGCTTAAATGTTGCTCTTTTTAATCTGAGAGACTAGCTCTCACCGATTTTTGTTGAATGTTGTAATGTGAAGGATGTAACTAAACTAAAAAAACTTAAGCTCCCGATCCAGAATGCAGTCTGAAGTGCGGAAAGAATGGCTACTGCAACGAGCACCACATCTGCAAGTGCCATGTGGGCTACACTGGTATGTACTGCGAGACGGCCTTCTGTTTCCCGCAATGCCTCAACGGTGGCAACTGCACGGCGCCGTCAGTCTGCACCTGTCCGGAGGGCTATCAGGGCACCCAGTGCGAAGGTGGTGAGTACACTACACAGTTTAATAGTTTAACGATTCAGTCAGTCTATCTTTAATGCTTAGCGTGGGGCGTGGGTAGAGGATTGACAGACAGATAACTTTGGGTCCTAATTCTGTGCACAATATTTACAAAAAGTTGAAAAGTGTATATCTAGATCTTCTTCGATATAGCAATGGCCGTTTTGCAGCCGAATTTGATGACCTCAGTCATTGCCTGATAGAAGGGCGCTTGCTCCGCCCCGCAATCGATGCCGGTGTCGTGGTGCTCCTGCTCCTCGTCCCGAAACTTTGTGATTGTCTCCAGCAGTTCCTGCAGATAATTCAAAATTGATTTAGTCCGCATATTTGTACCATAGTGATGTTCAATATATTGATACCCTACCTTGTCGGGATTTGGTGATTCCATAATCTGACGCAGCTGATCATTGTAGTGCTCCACAATCACCGTCTCCACTGCCACGGTGCAGGCCATTGCCGCCTTCTCGCCCATTAAAGCGGTACCGGCGCCCAGAACAAACCCGGCCACATTCCAGATGGGCGTCATGACTGTGGGACGAACTCGATGCTGCTGGATGAGCTGCTCGAATTGGGCACGATGGCACTTCTCCTGCTCCCACATATGCCCAATGGTCTTGCCCAAGGGCCCGTTACCCAGTATAGCCATTTGGCCGGCGTAGATGCGATCGGCGCCCAGTTCTCCGGCATGATCCACGCGTATTATTTCATCGGTCAGGGCGTTGGCACGTGGACGCAGGGGGTTTCCGGCTCCAGCTTCAGATCCCGATGATGCTGTGTTTTTGTTGCTAAGGCATCGCACGGTCAGCAGCCGGGTTTCCGGCCGAAAGAGGACGCTTCTCAGCATTGGGGCTGCAACAGAAGAAGATTTAAATAATGTGATACTCATGGTGCACACGCTCTTTTTTGGCTCCTTTCTCCCCAGGTATTTGCAAAGAGAAGTGCTTGAATGGCGGCAAGTGCATACAGAAGGACAAATGCCAGTGCTCCAAGGGATACTATGGCCTGCACTGCGAGTACTGTGAGTATAAGCCATGCTCTGTGTAATGTGTCGTGTAACTGTTTTGCCATCCCTTCTGTGGCCCTGTGTTACAGCCAAATGTGTGATTCCCTGCCAGAACGGAGGCCGATGCATCGGCAACAACATGTGCCGCTGCACGACCGGACTGAGCGGCATGCACTGCGAGATAGGACGCAAGCAACGCTCCATCTGCAAGTGCCGCAACGGCACCTGTATAACGAACAAGAAGTGCAAGTGTCATCCCGGCTTTTACGGACGCCACTGTAATGGTCGTAAGTAGCTGGTCCTGATCTCAATTTCGCTTCACTAATTCCCTTTCGCCCCTTTAAACCCTTCCCCAATCACAGGCAAGCGACGTCATGCCCATTGAATCATGCTGGGCTGCTGGGTGGCTGGGCGGCTGGATGGCTGGTCGAAGACGCAGGCACCATTGCATTCCCCGAGTTCCCCATGGTTTCAATCACACGATCAATCGCACTCGATACATTGAATTTACAACTTTTCTATTAAACCACAACAGCGAAAATGGATGAAACAAAAATAATACTAATTGTGATACAAACTTTTTGTAATTTAACATTTTTTAAATAAAAACAAAATCTTAGAGCGTCTTTGGTTTCGATTGGGTTAGGGGATCGAGACTGTCACAAGAACAGGCAGGGGGAAGTGTTACTGTCCTGTCGGTTCGGGTGCCCGCTCCTGGATCACGTACACGACTTACCCATTGTGTTACTTAAGATTTTGAACACCCAATATTAATAATAAAGATTAAAATCTGCAATCTGGAAGCGGCTGACAGTGTTATTGTTATGTGCACACCAGGGCTGGGAGCTCAGTGCTCACCTGCTACTTGTCACAAGTATTTTTTAAGTCACGCCAGTCACGCACGCCTCACCTAGCGTCCCAACAATTATATTCTGAATATACCCTCTAACATGACAAGAATAACTTGGCAATTGGTTGTTAGAGCTACAAAAAACTGGGTATTTTTATTGAAACGGATAAGACATGCGGCCCTGGCAATTGCTGCCGAAAAACGATTGGCGATAGTCCGATCACACACAGCTGTGATATTTTCAAAGGCTCCAGATTGTTGTTGCTCTCCGTGGAGGGGAAAGGGATACGTGTATCTTGATTAGATTCCATCAAGATCATCATCAGTGATTGCTGAAAGGGGTGGTGGTCCTACATACATACGTACGTACGTACGTATACACGCATATAAAACCAGCGCCCCAATTTGCTCCAACAGTCGCCTTCTGATCGCCATTATCGTAGAAACAACGTAAGAGCGAGAGAGACACAGAGAGAGAGAGAGAGAGAGAGAGTGCCAGGGGTCAAAAGACTGACGGCGAAAGAAACGAAGAGGACACTGAACTTTTTCAATTGCAGAAGGACAAAATGTCAACCACTCAACAGCAATTGGACTACATTGAGCGGTTCTTAGTTTACGACATCTACAAGTACTTCGGATCGGGTGCGTCCTTGGTGTCGCACAGCGTGGAATCCTCCAATGGACTGGACGGATTCATGTCCGCCCTATACACCGTACAGTTGGACCTAGAGATAGCTGATAGAAAGCAAAAGGAGCTGGTTCTAGTCAAGTTCATGAAGGGAACGGAACACTTCCGGGCATCCAGCAATTCGTACATTCAGTTCGCCAACGAGGTATACGCGTACGCCGAAATCCTGCCCGCCTACGAGCACCTGCTGCGCAGCAGCCGCCTCAGCAGCGATGTGGTCACCGGTTGGGTGCCGCGTTCCTATGCCGCCCGATACGGACAGATCGATGGTAAGGCCGAGCATAGTGTGGGGCATAGTGTGTGATCGAATCATTCTTAATTCCCAGGGCTGAGTGACAGTTGCGAGTCAGTGCTGGCTCTAAGGCACCTCAAGGAAGACGGCTACGAGCTCGGCCCTCGCCTCGTCCTTCGTCGTGATCAACTGGAGGCCATGGTTGGCCTGGTGGGCCCCTTCCATGCCCTCGGCTATGCCACGCGCATCCTTCAGCCACAAGTTTATGAGCGCCTGCGCTCTGGTGTAGTGCCAATGCCATTTGTTAGCAGCACAGGAAAGGGCGTCTTTGAGGTGCTCTATCGCGTAGCCTTTGACCGCTTCTATGGGTTCTACGATCGCCAGAAGGAGCAGCTGTTGCAGCAGGAGCAAGACGAGGGCTTTGCAGCAGCCCTGGAACGACTGCGTAATAAATACTTTGCCCAGCCGGAGCAGCTGATGGAGCGTATACGCACCTCCTCCTTCGATGAGTCGCAGCCAGACAGCTACTTCTGCACGTTCCTGCACGGCGACTTCAACCGGAACAATGTGCTCTTCCACTATGACGCCGCTGGCACGGTAGACAACATCAAGACCATCGATTTTCAGGAGCTGCGATTCAGCACCACGGCCATCGATCTCAGCTTCTTCATGTACATGAACACGCCCCCCGACGATCGAGAGGAAATTTTTGCCGATCTTCTGAAGAAGTACCACAAGAAAATGATCGAAATGCTGGAGCTGGTGCTGCAGCGAAACCAGGATGAGCTCTCCGAGGAGCGGGTGCAGCAGCTGCTTGCCGACTACAGGTGGGTGTGGTGGAACACCTGAGGAATGCTGAAACTAATTCTCTCTTTGCGGCACAGCTTTGAGCGCTTCGAGGCTCACTTCAAGAGGTACGCTTTCTATGGAGCAATGGTCGTCATGCATTTCCTGCCCTGGCTGCTAAGCAATGAAACGGACTGTGCGGAGCTCTCCAGGCTCTTTGAGACGGACATGCATAGTCCGGCCTTCCATCAGCTGTCGCTCGCTATTGGCGGAGACGTGGCCAACCTTGAGATCTTCAAGGTGGTGCGTCACGCTTACGAACATGGCTACATGGATGAGATATAGATACGCACACACGCACACGCACACGCTCACGCACATACTGCATATTTTAATTATTATCTGTTAGTATTCTTTAATTTTTAACGAGCTCTGAGCTCTCAGTCTGCAAATACATTCCACGAGTTCTGTGGAACCAAACCGTTCGTTCTCGTTCTCCTTCAGGTCTATTCCAGTTGCAATCTAAGACGACAACATGTTGCCTCTGACCTTGATATACTGAATATTCATGTTATATTCAGTCTTCAGCAGCTTTATCACGAACTTACCATTGTTTCCAACTATTTGCACAACTGTGGGGGCTATAGCAAATGGTGTTGTCGTATTTAAGAAGCATTTAAGACTAGGAACGACGCCAGGAAGCCAACCATTCTCCAGTCTGTGGTCTGCAGTCGAGTGACCCAAGCACGCACGCTCAAAAAGCACACGAAGGCAGACATGCGTTTAATATTATTGTTGTCAATTCTCTTTGTAATCGCCCAGCAAGCCCTATCCTTGGGCAGAGTGATGCAAACCAGGCACACATCAGTGGAGGAAGAATGGATGGATAACGGCAACGATGGATATGACGAGTATTCGCTGGAGCAAGACGCTGAGGAGGAGGAGGATGGCGATGACAATGACGATGAAGAGCAGCTGCTGCTGCTGAAAGCTGCCGAAAACCCCGTGGATGAGGATGAGGATAGCTGCGAGTACAGCTGCCCGCGCTACTACCGTCCCGTCTGTGTCCTGCGTAACAACCAGCTGGTGACCTATGCCACGCCCTGCGAGTACTATAATCAGCTGCGATGCACCAGTGTCCGCCAGCGGCAGGGCCAGACAGTGCCCACCTTTCAGTTTCAATACAATGGAGCGTGTCATCAGTGAAGAATACAAATAATAATATTGATAATAATTCATTCTTTGGGCGTACAAGTAATCGTAAAAACTAGGTTTAACTTAATTTACAAAAAAAAAAAATTATCTGGTCTTTCCCCGAATGTCTCGCTGAAAACTAAACCGATTTCATTATGACAGGGATAGACATAGAGTGACTCTTCCTCTTCCTCTATCTCTCTCATAATGATCGCTTGGAAATCGGTTTAGTTTTCAGGGCTTACAAATGTAGCAATAATTCTCATCTTGCTTAAAAGCAAACCAAAATGTTGTGTATATAAATTGCATGTTTTTAGTTTGGAACTAGCACAACACCTCTCTCTCGCGTGAAAACAGGCAGTTTCAGAAATAGCTGATCTCATCTCTTGATCTCATACTTTTTAAGTGTTATTTTAACAGTAATAGTCTTTCTTATGTATGGAGGATACCAGAGACATCCCTAGGGACGACTAAAGATCACAACGCTGTTGCGTCGCTTAAGGTTCCTTATTATGTTCTGTGGTCCAGCTGTCGATGTAGTCTGTTGATTGCCGGCTACTAGTTTTGCTGCTGCTGGTGGCGGCGGCTGCAGTGGAGCTGTGGGATTAGTTCCCGTGAACGAGGTGGACCAAATAGTATTCGCTGGTCTACTGCCGTGGGCTGCGGCTGGGCTTGGTGAAAGGGCTGCGGCTGGGCTTGGTGCGACGGCTGCTGCTGCTGCTGCTGCTGGTGGATTCGTCCTGATTAACCCATCTGGACCCAGGGTCTGACGTCGCTGACTGATCTTGGCTTTTTTTGGAACGGGCTCCCCCTGGATCCCCTGGATGGCGATAGGTGTGCGATTCTTGAGACCTATATGAATCCGGGGAATTGGCGGACGTTCAGCCAGGGCCATCAACTCTTCGTAAAGCTGGCGACTTAGAGTATCGCTATTGTAGCGTGTGTTGAGCAAACTGTTCTTGCTTATGATCAGACCGTTCTGGAATTGGAGGGCCGTCTGCATAAGGAATCGCAAAATCACCCGGTACGTGTACACTTGCCGGAAACGACCAACTCTTTCGTGGTGCTTCGTGTAGCAGTGCTGGATGTACTGCTCGAAGCCACCGGGTTGATCCATCTGACAAAAATGGCACCTATGGAAGCCCCCAAAGTGGGAGATAATGTGCCGCAGCAAGACCATCTCCTCCTGCGAGGAGAACAAACAGTATAAGCAGCGAAACATCAGCGGATGGACATTCGTAAAGCTGAAACCCTGATTGGCGTGCTCCTGCTGTCCGTGATGGTACATCGCTATCTGATCCGGCAATATCTTCTGGCACAGGCTGCACTTTTGATAATACTCGGCCCCGTTTTTGCTTCGATTAAGATTCAGCAGCACCTCCAGACCCGAATCCGTCATGTTCTTGAGATCGTTTACCTGGTGATTCGCCTTCTCCATGTGGCTGCTGAGATCCTCCCAGTTTTGGTAATTATAATCGCAGAACCCGCACTCCCTGGGCCGACGGACATCACAGCCGAACGTCCTGACCAGGCGTTTATGTTGGTGCGATGACATCAGATGCTCACGCAGCTCTTTAGCACTGCCCTTAAAGGACTTGCATTGGCAGCACATTAATATCGGCTGCACCCGGAACATGAAAGATCGCTTCGGGTGCGCCTTTGCCCAGTGCTGGTCTTTCATTTCCATCAGATTCCGTGAGGTGAAACCACAATGATCGCAGCAGAAAATATAGAAATGATTACGCAAATAGGATTCGATCAAGGTCTTATCCTTCTCTGCAATAGACACACGTAAACTCTCGTTAAAGGGTTCGCTGACATTCCGATTCGCTGTCGCTGTCACTGGCGCTGTCACTGGCGCTGTCACTGGCGCTGTCATTGGCGCTGTCACTGGCGCTGTCACTGACGCTGTCATTGACGCTGTCACTGGCGCTGGCGCTGTTACTCTCTCAGTCTCTGTTTCATCATCCGAGTCGAGAAGATCGATCACCTCACTGATCCTTGCATTGACAGCGAGGGGGGGCTGCTGAACTTCCTGCTCCTCTGGCTCCTCGTCCTCCTCTTCGTCTGTATCCTCCTCTTGATCTTCCTCCTGTTGCTGCTGCTCCCGCTGCTGCTGCTGTGTCTCCTCAATCGGATGGGCCTCGGCCCAGGCCAGCTTATCGGGCAGATCAGTAAAAACTCGCTGAAACTGGCAGATTGCCAGTCCCTTGAGGTCCGGATGTTCGTCAATCATGTGCGAGATAACTCTTCGCTCCTGGGTGCAACTGAAATCGCAATGCCGACACTTGTATTGGCAGAGGCACACATGCTGCTCCTTGAGATGGGCCACGATCCGCTGGAAGCTGAGAAAGGCCAGCCGACACTGGCAGCAGTAGAACCCCATCGTTTGCCTTTTCCGCGCGATAGGGCGCTGATAGATAAGCGCTGGCTGCACATGCTCACTCGGATGATCATCCAGAATGTGTTGAATGACGGAGACGGGCTCATTTGCCCCAAAACTACACTGCGGCGCACGCACAGGGCAGATGTACTGATGCTTAATGCCATGCACTGCCTCCACATGTGCGCGTATCTTCTCCATTGCGTTGTCCATGTGCTGGCACAGATTGCATATGAATTGATTGTGAGTTGGGTACTTCGATAGCTTGGCTGTAAAGGGAATCGCAAAGGAGATTCAATCAGTGGGTATGGGATCTGGGCACTGGGTACTGGCTACTGGCTACTGGGTACTCACGCAACTTAATCCATCGGGCTGTGGTCTTTAGCCGTGCATTCACCTCCTGCCTGTGTATCACCACATCTACATTGATTTTCGGGTGCCGGTCCATGATGTGCCGCTCAATGGAATAACGGTCGGGATTGAGGCGAGAGCAGGAACCGCACTGGTAAATGTGATGCTTGTGGGTGAGCAGATGCATCAAGTACTTCGAGACGGATAACTTGCTGGGCTGACGGGTGCGGCAGAAGGTGCACCACAGCACATCCGTGTACTTGTGCTCCTTCGACATGTGCTCGATGAGGGCCTGCTGCGTTGGCAGCTGTATGCCGCATTCCAATGCACCGCAGACGAAGCGACCCGCTGAGGGTACGTACAGCATGTACGGATTGACCACCGTATGTTGTCCCCCAGCTCCGTTGGCCACATCTTCTTGCACCGGAGATGGCTCGGGGATTTCGGGGTTAGTCTGCACGATGCGCTGTGATTCCACGAACGCACTAATCGTCTGCAGCTTGTGCATGGCCAGGTGTCGCTGCATGTGCACAACCTCAGAGCTGACATACAGGCACTCGGCGCAACGCAGCTGCACCGTCAGCACAGTGTTACCGCTGGGCAGCAGCTTCGCCTCCGAAGAGCGAAAGACTTGCTTTGTGCCGGCCTCGCGCAGCTTCAGTTCGCGGATCAGCTTGAACTTCATAGCCTGCAGCTGCTCTTGCTCGAAAGGCAACAGCACCCCAACCACATGACACACGGTGGAATTGTGGGCGGCCCTCACAGCGTGGCCCTCCTGCAGGGAGACTTCCATCACCTTGAAGGAGTGATTGGGCAGGCCGAGCACCTCTGAATGGCACTTACGCACGTGGAATATCAACATATCCTTGCTGTTGCCCGTCTCCAGGCACAGGCTGCAGATATAATTATGGCGCGCATGATGCAGCAGCATATGTTGCCGCAGCATTGGCGGCGTCTCCAGCGTGCGACAATACCGGCACTTAACCAGCTCCGTGTCCATGCGGGAGCTGCGTATGTGGTAGTGGATGTGCTTGACAAACGATTCGCTCGTCAGTCGGGCCCCGCAGGTCCTCTGCGGACATTCGAACAGATTGTCGTCTGTGGATTAGCGGAGAAGATTAATGGATGCTGGGTATGGATAGGGCGATGGATCCTCAGTACTCACCCTCATATCCTGTAGGCTCTAGATATCTGACCAATACTTTGGAAATGGATACTCCTCCACGTGGGTTGTCTGCATAGGCTCTGCCTAGAGCCGTTTCCTTTCCCTGTAGCTGTGCCGGCACTGCCGGTGGAACTGTTGCTGTAAATGCATTCCTTTGCTGGGTGAATGTCTTATGAATCTGCTCGCTAACAGACAACTCCCCACCCGGCCGTGTGGTTGTAGCTGTTTCCAGCTCATGGCGCGGCGCCAGGCCATGCACAAGGACGCCATGTCGCACATAGTCATCCACATCGGAGGCCACATGAGGGCAGTAGGCGCAGTGCAGGTAGTCGGCGCTCCCAAAGCTGAAACGATGAAAATTCATGTGCTCCCGTATGCACATCACTGTGTGGGCACAATAGCCGCATCCAGCGGCCATGCAGCGAAAACGATCCTGCGACAAGTGGAGTTTTGGACGACGGTTGGCTGTTGTTGGTGGTGCTCCAGCGGGAGCACCATTTTCCGCTGCTGCAGATGCAGCTACAGTTGAACCTGCTGCCGTTGGAGCTGCCAGACATATGTTGACGTGATTCGCAGAGATGCTTTGAGTCAACACAAAATGGCCATTGTTAACTGTTGCCAGTGACTCAGGCAGGACTGGGGGCAATGCCTGGGGTTCTGCTGGTTCCTTCTGGGGTTCATCCACATGGCACACAGTCACGATTTGGATGCCTGTGTTCTTCCTATTATTGTACAGCAGTTCTTCATTTGCCATTTCGTTTGCAGTTGCATTCCCATCTGCAGCCCTTGGGGCTTGCGTTTCCGTTTCCCTGGGAGATAATGCAGCCGGAGTGGCAGGCTTGGCGCAAAGAAATTCCCCCAGTCCGGCGGCATTAAAGTCCGCCAGCTGGTTGATAGGTCGTGGCGTGGCCTTTAGCAGATCCCTGAGCATAACATTAGCCAGGGTATCTCCTTCCACATTCCCATGCACATCCACATCCACTTGGTTCGAGGATACATTTTCCTGTTGCTGCTGCTGTTGCTGTTGCTGTACCTGGTCCTGTTCGACTTGCTTTGCAGCTTTCGTGAGTAAGTCGCCACTGAAACGACGCACTCGAAGCTTGGGCAGTGCTG